CCTCTTCTCATCGTGCTCCTACTCTGCCTTTTCTTCACTTCCGCCTCCTCTCCTCTTCTGCTCCTCCTCCTCCTCCTCCCCGTCATCCTCATCCTCTTGTCGTCCTCCGCGGCGTCCTCGTGCTCCTCTACTTCTCCTCCCGCGCCTCCTCCTCCTGCTCGTCCTCATCCTCTTCTCCTCATCCTCTCCTCTTCCTCCTCCTGCCTCCTCCTCCCTCCTCCTCCCCCTGCTTCTCTTCTTCTCCTCCGCCTCCAGATCCGGGCAGAACTGGTGCGCGCAAGTCGGTGGGCGCCCGGGCGACCTGCACAGGTGCCCTGGCCTCGCTATTCTCGATTCTCGATTCTGAATTCTTAAGTCTGAAAATTCTGAATTCTTCCTTCTTCCAATCCCCTCCCGCTAGATGGGATCATATTTAGGTTTGGGAAAAAGAAAAAAGAAAAAAAAAAGGCAGAAAAAAACACGTTAATCAATCAATCAATGCTCGGAAAAAGAAGAAAAATAAAAGGCAAAAAAAAACACATTAATCAATAAATCAATGCTCGGTTTGATAACAAGATCGGATTCTTTTCTTCTCCTCTCAAAGCAACCCCCCCCCCCTGCCCCCCCCCCCCACACACACCCTGGGTGACCTTGCGCAGCCTGAAGAGAAATGCCAGTGTGGAAATTTCTCTCCTTTCTTTCCACTACTGGCGCTGGCATTGCCCTTGCCCTTCCTTTTTTTTTTCCTTTTCTTTTTTTTTTTTTTTTGCCTTTCCTTTTTGAGGAGTGGTTAGATTGTCACCAACCAATAGAATGAGAAGACTGACTGTTAATTAAGGGATTAAGGGGGAAAAAAAAAAGATAGAGAGAAACGGAAGGTTCGGATAACTAAACTAAACCAGCGCCGATCAAAGTCGGAGCATTAAAAAAAAAAAAAAAAAAAAAAAAAAGAAAGGAGTCGAAGCAATGAAAAAACTCTCACTAGCACTTTTGATCGATGTATTTCTTGTTTATTATTTACTTAATGAGGTAATAATAGCAACTGGGCGAAACGACGATTTGGGCGCGTTTCAACTGAGAGCTGTAATCTTCTTCTTCTTCTTCTTCTTCTTTTTTTTTTTTTTTTTTTTTTTGACTTACCGGTGGAATAGGAACCTGACTGATGCTTCCCAGAATGGAAAAGGAGCCAAAACCTTACTTGAAAAAAAAAAAAAGTGTGACATGTTATGCACACTGAGAGAAGCAGTCTATGGCTGCGTGCTATTGTCACTTGTTAATAATAAATGTTATTCCTGTCTACAGCACTGCCCATAGACTGCTGCTCGCAAAGGCATCCTCATCATCATCCTCATCATCCTCATCATCAGTTTCTTCATCATTATCATCATCCTCATCATCCTCATCATCATCATCATCATCATCGTCATCACTTTTCAGTGTTTTCACCCTTGTCATGAGCTTCTTCATTCTCATCCTCATCCTCATCCTCCTCGTCATCCTCGTCATCCTCATCCTCCTCATCCTCATCATCATCATCCTCATCCTCATCATCATCAACAACAGAAGCAGCAGCAGCACTATTCACCCTCGTCATCATCATCAATCATTCATCATCATCCATCAGCAGCGCCAGCAGCTTATTTATTGTTGCATGAACAAAAAAAAAAAAAAAAAAAAAAAAGAGAAAAGAAACGAGTCTATGGCCATTGTTCTCACTGTTTTTGCTTTTAACCAAAAAAAAAAAAAAAAAAAATTCAGGCTACGATTGCTGGAGAAGTGGAGGTGAACGTAGGAGGGGGAGGAGCAGGGGGAAGGAACGCACAGCACAGCACAGCACGACTTTCCTGGACGTATTTGACCGTAAGTATGGCCAGATTCTGCCGAAATCTTTTCGAGGAATATTTACAGATGGACAGCAGAGTCGATCGTACCAGAACATATCACCACCACCATCATCATCATCATCATCATCATCGAGACCGCTACGTTTATCATCTGCATCATCATCGAAAACCGCCACGTCATCAACATCGTCATAGTCACTGCCACGTCATCATCATCATCGTCACTGCCACGTCATCATCATCGTCATCGTCACTGCCACTTCATCATCATCGTGACTATCCTATCGAAATTGTCGAAGTCTATGATAAGGCGGAGAGAGAGAGGAGACAGAGAGGAGACAGAGAGGAGAGAGAGAGGAGAGAGAGAGGAGAGAGAGAGGAGAGAGAGAGGAGATGCAAATGGCGATAGGGAAGGAGAGGGAGAGGGAGACAGTAGGGTTGGGGATGGACAGGGAGATGAAGAGGGAGAACGAGGTATAGAGAGTTCCTCCTAGGGTTGGGGATGGAGACGGAGAGGGAGATGAAGAGGGAGAGGAGAGGGAGAGGGATACGGAGAGGGAGAGGGAGAAGGAGAGAGCTCCTGGGGTTGGGGATGGAGATGAAGAGGGAGATGAAGAGGGAGATGATGAAGAGGGAGAGGGAGAGAGAGCTCCTCCTCGGGTATCACGAACGCATGGAAGAAGAACGAGAGCAGGAGGTGGAGATGGAAACGGAAAAGAGGAGATGGACGTCTTCTACTTCATCATCATCATCAGCAGCAGCAGCAGCAGCAGCATCCGGGGTTTCCCTTCTCCTCCTCCTCCTCCTCCTCCTCCTCCTCCTTCCCCTCCTCGACCACCTCTTCTTCTTCTCTCTCTCTCTCTCTCTCTCTCTCTCTCTCTCTCTCTCTCTCTCTCTCTTCTGCTCCTCCTCTTCCTCCTCCTTTACATTATTGTCCTGTTTTCCGTCGCCATCATCATCATCATCATCATCATCATCATCAGATCCCCTCCTTCTCCTCCCCTCCTTAGTGGATCAATCTCACTATCATATTGAAAAATTATACATAATAATAAATAGATACACAACCTCATCATCATTGAATTCCCATCACCACCGTCGTCTCCATTTCTCCGCTCCCTCCTCCTCCTCCTTCTCCTCCTCCTCCTCCTCCTCCTCTTCCACGTGGTGGTGCAGGACGAGGAGAAGCAGGGCCCAAGGGCTACCTCTCAAAGGGGGAAAAGGGGGGGAGAAGGAGGAAGGGGGCAAAGGGGGAAAGGGGGGGAAAGGGGGAAAAGGAACCTTTCCCGCCCACATCCACGTCTGCTTCTTTTTTCTGATTCTTTTTTTTTCTGTTTTTCTTCTCCATCTTCTTTATTCATCGAAAGAAGAAATAAAAAACATTGTCACAAGGGGAAAAAAAAAAA